TGGAGACATGGAAACGCTGCTGCTTTGCAGCTGCGTTACCCTGCTCCCTCGGGCTTGGACCCCTAATAAATAGGAAAACAATACTAAAATGTAAGACAGTGATTCTGACAATGCAGCACTGCATAGTCCACAACACCCCAGCAACAACCAGAGCCTTGAGACTCTCTGGGTGGGTTTTGTTCACCCCTAGAGCCCTGCTGCCATGGGGCTTTTTAACTAAACTTCAACAACCCATGCCCCAATTATATACGAGGCACCCAGACTGAACTTCCTCCCCTGAAGACATGCTGTGATTGAGAAGTAGTAGTTTGCATTTATATGCAGTAATATCAGAATATAAAATAATTATTTGTGTGTGTGTGTTTAAAGAAATTTATTGAGTAAAATGTGACCACTGGTCATTTTTATTTTCTCTTTCATCATTTAAGTTGAAAGGGTTTCTCCCATCCTCCTGCCAAAGCTGACTATAAACCATTTCACAGGCTATCAGCTCATCACTTTGTATAAAACCCAGCATAAATGASTTTTTACTCTCAAAATGGAGGTCATAAACTATTCTGTGGTCTTTTATTTCAAACAACCTGTTAATCCACCTGTAGCTTAGGTTTGGCTCCACACTGAGCAGAAGATTCTGTTAAAATACGATTCTAAGCCTGCTAAACTGGTTTTAAAAGCCTAACAGCTGAAATTCCACAGCCTTTTTCCATCTTTAGAACTTACAACAAAAAGAAAAAAGTATTTTCTTTAGGTGGGGATAAGCTTCTTGATCAGCAGGTGGTGACTCAGAGAGTCAAATCACTGCTGGGCCACCTACACAAATGTTCCCTAACCTTTATACATCCATCCAGCTCAGCAGTGTGCCCCGACATACAGCTCAGCTCTTTGGGGATTTTTTTTTAAACCAGCTTTATTAGAAGTAGAACACAGTGTGAAATGATTTTCTTAGCTGCACGACAGCAGCTGTGKGTAAGAAGCAAAAGTCTCTGACAGCTCATTTCAACCGTCTTCTTTTACTTTATCACTTTCTTTTCTTGTCACCCTTGCTCTTCTGCTTTTCTCCTCTGTAACACTACATCATCTACTTTTTTCCTCCCCGCTCTATCTCTACACCTCACCTCTCCGATTCTGCTTCCAGTGCAACTCACTGCCTGTTCGCGTTTCTGTGGGAGCAGATAACAAAGCAGAAATTGATGCTGAGTGCTTCATGACGGCCTGAAAACGTACACTCTTTGTCTTTCTCTCCTTCCTGCTCTCATCTGTCTTTGGGCTCTCTGGTTTGTTTCCAGCAATTCAAAAACGCCACAGTACATTTTCAGGTTAACTGTTATAGTATCTTTAGGTTTCACTAATACAGAAGGTTCTGCATTTTTTTAAACCCACCTCCCACTTTTTCCTCCACTAGTCTGCTGCAACTGTTTTCTCTTGCCTTTATCTCTTTATCCCACTTTTTAAAAACATTCCTGCTTCCCTCACCTTCTGTTTGTCTTGCCACCAGAGTTAAATAATTTGCACCTTTCCTGTTTTTGTCCTCTTTGTCCTTTATCTAAATCCTTTCCAGGTATCAGCAGGTGACTTTCACACATGCAGACTCACAGATGCATCAAGTTCCTGCTGGTGTAAATGTATTTTTTTCTTCCTTTTTTTTTTTAGATTCTGCTTTGCTCTTCTGCACATCCATCTGGGAAAATATTTGTTTTAGGTTTGATGCCAGATGACTGATCAGAAATCCTAATTTCACTGTACTGCAGAGTAAACGTAATCCTTTAAAACCACGAGATAGGAAATAGATGATGCAGCAGAAGCACAATTTGGAAGTGATCAAAAATAGAAAATTATGTAAAAAAATAAAAATAAAAAACTCCAAACGTTTCTGTAAAAGCTGAAAATAAATCTGAGTTGGTACACATATGATGCAAGGGTCTATTTATAAACAATTTAAAAATGCTGCCATCCATCCATCCATCCATCCATCCATCCATCCATCCATCCATCCAAACAGAAGTAAAAGAGTAAATCTGTTAAAACTTTTTCAATCTATTTCACTTTTCAGTTTCCTTCCCTTCCTCTGCCTTTGCACTTTCCACCTCTCTCTTTTTCCTCCCTCCTCCATGGTTACGTACCTTCTACCCTGTCTATTCATCTTGTCTTTATATTTTACTTCTCTTCAAACTCCACCACCCTCATCCGTCCCTCTCGCCCTCCCAAAGCACCCCTGTGTCTGCACCCAGCTGATTCCCCATCCTGTGCTCCGAGCTGACAAAGATCGCCTTACAGATCGCTCTCCTGCACACGCACAAACCCAAAGAAAATCACACAAAACACACACACATGCCCACACATCCAGCCCTCCTAATGTTACGTTACAGCTGTGGGATCTTCGGACATAATAAAGCACTTAATGGTCACATTAATCATTCAGAGCATGAACAGCCTGATCACGGTGTTTGATTACTGCCAAATCTGACACTGTGTAGGAAGGTGTTTTTAGTGTTGGGAGAGGAAATCCCTTTGTGAAAGAAACAGATAAAAAGGATGTGTCATCAGAAAGTCATTAATAACAACAAAACGTCATCATCTGAACTGCAGTTGTTAGCTGTAGAAAGTTTTCTTTCATGTGAGAACAAAACATCAAATCAGTGAACTCCATATGTACGTTTAATCCAACGATCTGAGCTGGATTGTTTACATGAACAGTCTTGAATCTGTTCACAGTGAAGCATAAAATGACTGCAGCTGAATGATGCTTTTTGTAAACACTTCAAAGACAAAAAAACCCTGAGGCTAAAACCTTTAAATTTGAGCGTCATCACAATGAACGTYGGCGTTTGTGTCATGCTCACCTTGTGGGAGTAATGGGGGTCAACTATCCTGGCGAGCCCAAAGTCACCGATCTTGAGCAGGAGTTGGTCCGTGTTGATGAAAATGTTGGCAGGCTTCAGGTCTCGGTGCAGGACGTTGGCCGAGTGGATGAACTTTAGTCCCCTCAGCAGCTGGTAGAACAGCAGGGTGGCGTGACCTGTTTATGAGTGGAAAGAAATATCAAACAAACTGAATACAGACTATAATTTATACCTAACTCACTGCACTGATCAGGACCTTTGTGGCAGTTCTTTCATAAAACCCAGGGAGGTTGTACAAAAAAAAGAAGTTTTAAAATCATTTAGTCAACAATATTTTTTTTCTCCCTTGTCATTGTTTATTTATAGATCATCTTATGCGCTTACTTGTGGGTAAAGGTCCTTGGTCCAGCAGCCGAGCCATGTCGGTCCCCATGCACTCCTGGACGATGTACAGGGCGCTGAGCTGAGACGGGTCTCTGGGTAAGGGTCGTCCGTACGGAGCTATGACCTCATGAACCCGCACCACGTTCTCATGGTGCAGTCGCTGGGTGATCTTCACCTCCCGCAGAGCGTGTTTCATCGTCACCGCATCCCGCATCACCAGCTTTTTGATGGCCACCCGCCGTCCGGTGCGCTGGTCGACAGCTGACAGAACCAGGCCGGTGACACCCGTACCGAGAGGTCGGGGGTCGACGAAGTGACCGCCGAGCTCAAAGCCGTGGAAAAAGTGAGGGGTGTTCTGGCTGGCCATGGCAGCTCAGACTGGTTTTTGACTAACTGTATTGGGTGATGGATCTAGCTTTAATATGTTACATTTTACCTGATTTTCTAATAGGAAGCTGCTGCTAATTTTTTGTCTTTCTTGTCATTAAAGCTCAAATTACCACAAGTGTTTTTGGACGTGTTGGCAAAAATAGGTGAAAAGCATCAAACAAGGCATGTTCTGAATATATGATCTGTAGTCATTATTCTGAGAAAAGAAGTTATTTCCACAACGCCTGCCATTCTGGTGCACAATTGTTTTTTTCCTTATTTAAACTTGCTTGGGGCATATTTTTCACAGATTCAGTAGAACATTTTTTTGCTCGCATGACCACGAACCAGAAACACGATTCAAAATGTTTCGTAAGATTTATGATGTCGTTAGGATGTGTTTGCCAAAATGTAACCTATGAACTGAAAGAAATCTAATTTTTGGTTTTGTCTGTCATCCTGTAGAATCATGTTTAAACTTTTAAGACATCCACAGCAAACAGGTTAAAAATAACATACTGTCTTCAGCATCCTTACTTCTGGCACTGAATGTTTTTTCTCTGCTTTTAGTTATTTACAGAATTTCTCTGTATCTTCCCATGCAGATATTCAGGATGTCAGTAAGTGATATAAACCATGGCACGGTTATCCATTGGTGCAAAATAAAAAGACCAATATACGTGTTGAGGTATCGTGGGACCCCAGCGAGACACTCTGCACTCCCTTCCTGAGCTCTTTTGTTTCTTGTCTGTAATTCTCACAGTGAGGCAGGAGGAAAGGAGAGGGGTCCTGAGGTTTAAATTTAATGAGTCTCTGTTGGCTCCTCCTCTTCTTCCATGATACCAGAGAGGCTCCCAGTCAGTCGGGCGATTTCATTCAGATCAACATTAGATGAAGGCTAAATCCTGCAGCGTTCCCTCTTGTGTTCGCATGTGCCCACGTGTGCATTGCCTTTAATCCCTCAGTAATCTTCTTCCTGTTGCCTCTTCATGAATGTAGGTTTTCAGTACCATGGCTGTGCCAACATTTAGATGTGTCGCTCAGCACATCTGCTGCTGCTGCTGCTGGAGAGAAAAAATAAATAAAAGAAAAAATATAAAAAAGAAACAGGTAAACAGAAAGGTTTTGTTGCAGAAGAGCTGCTGTTACACAACAATGAAACGCTTTGTAATCTAATCTACACAAGCAACTGTGAACTCAGAAGGGTAGATAGTTTGATGATGCCTTAAAGGTACTGATTTCAATCTGTGGAAACACAAAAAACAGTCATCCTGAACTTTATGGCGTTATTTCTGCAACTTTTAACAAATGGTGCAATTTTAAAGAGTTTTAGCTCCAGCAGTTTTTAAGATTTAGTGATATAAAACTTTGAAATGCAGGTACGCACTCAATGTAAACAGAGCACTTTACCCTCTATACTTTTTTCAACAAATCTAAAGATGAATACACACCAGTGCACCAACAATGTCTGACTTTTCCAATTCCAAACAGATCTTCCATGAACACCACTACTGATGTGTTTCAGTTGTTTCGTCTGTTTCCACAGGTAAACAAACGTGGTAGTTAGCAGCCGGTAAATTTGCTTGTAAATTTAAACCATCGATTTTGAAACAATTGGGTGTTTTTGTTACTTGATTAATGATTTTCTTTGTACCATTATTACATTACAAGAAGTACCTTTAAGATACGCTATATAAAATCATTTTGACACAGAATAATGCAGGTTTTTGCTCTGAGTTCTGGATCTGAGAAGGTCAAAAACAAATGCTCAACTCTCTTGTTACCCCTCATTTCCTGAGCCGTAAGAACCTGAAGAATCCATCAATAAAACAAATCTCTCAGCTGGAAAGCCTTAAGGGTAACTCCCCCACTCTCTGCCTCCCTCACTCCTCAAACAGTGTGTGCGTGCTTGTGTTGGGGTGAGAGGAGAGCGAGGTCACATCCAGTCACTGGACAATAGTAGCTCTTTCACTGCCTGCAGAATCCTCTCCTGCTGAGCTCAGTCAGGCTGCAGGAGGAGTGTAAGGTGAGAAGTGAGGAGATGGAGCATTGACGGTYGTGCTGGGTGGGAGGTGCGGCGCTGGGGTAACTGTATAAATAATGCATCACCACTTGCAACAGCAGTTGGTGCTCTCTTTCTTCTTTCACACACATTTCTTCAGGTTAGGCAACTAGAAAAAAATATATATCCAAGCAGGGACATTCTGCAGTTTCTGAATTCAGATGAGAAGTGCTTTTATGTGTCAAAAAGGGTTCAAAAACATGACCTAAAATGCTCCCAGTGTTTGTTCATGAGGGTGGGAAATCAGCTCCACGCTTGGTCTGAGCCATTGGCTATAAATTTGAAGGTGATGGCAGATATGAGCAAACAAAGGAGCAGCTTTTGTTGCCTTCTTCTGCATTTACTTCCCCAACAATCAGCTGGACTTTCAGTAAGAACTGATGCATCCTCTGTGAACACTGGCTCCATGCAGCAGCCTTTGTGTGTCTACAATGTAACGCCCCTCTGACAGAACAAAAACACTCTAACTGTGGTGGACAAGAACGCATAGAAGCTACAGCACATCTAAGAAAGAAAGAAACGAAAAAAAGTGAACCAGTGATGAAGTGCCCTAAAAAAAAAAAACCATCCCTCTGGAATCTCAAGTAAGAAGATGAAAAAGAAAATAAAAATGTGCCCTCAAAGATAGCAATCATCAGCAGAGATACTCACAGGAGCGTTAAGCAGCCGCAGCCTCCAGTCCTGAAGCACAAAGATGTGACGGATACGGGTCCTCCTCGGAGGCGGAGAAAGTGAAACGTCAGCGCATCTCTCTCCCCCCTGTTCCCTGGGTTCTCCGAGAGGTCTGGGTGATCCAGGAGGGGACCGTGTGGTCCGGGGGATCGGCACCGAGGGGGGAAATGATTCGTGGAGATAAACTAAAGGCGACTGTCTGCTGCTCTCTGTCAGCGCTTCAGAGGAATAATCTGAGAGGGAGGAGGAGGAGGAGGGGGAGGAGAAGGAGGAGGAGGATCACCCCTATTCAGGTACCAGCTGCACTTCTACAGAAGCTGCATCACAGATGACAAAAGTGATACTCTTCCACGTCTCTGAACTCAGCTAAAACTTAAATGAACTTAATGCTTTTCTAAACCTTCTGAAGTCCGCGTGAAAAAAAATAGAGAAAAAGAAAGGAAATGATTTTGAAATGTTTGAAAATAGAAGTTTTTTTTTGTCCTGGTCATCAGTTTTCAAGGAAAATTGTCCCAGCAGAATAAACCTGACTAAAGAGAGAGAGAGAGAGTTTTATGTTGGTTATAAATCAGCAGCTTGAATGCATTCTTCTGACTTCCAGAAGAAATGATAGTTTGCAAAATTGCACGATCTTAAAACTGCAAAGTTTCATAAACTTGTTGTTAAAAAAGGCCCAAATGCAGGACAAAGAAGCGACAAATTCCAGGTCCACAAAATTTCAATTTTATGTAAAAAAATGCACTTTGGCAATCAATCAATCAATCAATCAATCAATCAATCAATCAATCAATCAATCAATCAATCAATCAATCAATCAATCAATCAATCAATCAATCA